GGAGTTCATATAAAGTTCATCAACAAATTAAAACATTAACAAACAATATCTCTTACTGGAAATCAATAATTCAACTTGAGATGGTTTATATCATTGGGCTTCACAAAATTTAAGTTTTCAAAGAAACGTTTCTGCATTTCGACATATTGATTGGAATAATCATCAACAAATATTTACCGATGTATTGATGGAAGATTTAGCTAAAGAATATTCAGAACCTGAAATAATTGAACTCATTAGTATGTATGGAGCTTCGAAAAAACTGCAAACATTATTCGAAATTCATCATAATCGATATGAACAAACTCCTCATTATATATATGGAAAGAAATTAAAGATGCAATATTAAAACGATTACAAGATTATAGTAGAACAAAACAACGTTTATCACAACTATTAGATGAAGAATAACAAAGAGAATTAGAACAAGAATTCTAGAAGAAGAACGTTCACCACCTGTCACTCCATGTGAACCTATACTCCATGAGGAAATTAAACGATTGTGTGATACAGATAATGCTATGATGAATCTAACACAATATCCTCATGTATTTCGTTATTTATCATATGCTTTCATGGACATAACATTTCTTAATGATTGTCAAGCTAATAATTGGCAAGAAAATTTTTGGATATCAACTGAATTCCAACGTTTAATTGCAACTAAAGGAGAATCATTAAATCCATTTTTACGTCCTCCACGATGGATTATTATCTACCGCAACCAACAATTAATTTTTCTTAGCGCTTTAGAAGCCAATTGGGTAATAGGTCGTTTAAACTCTCTTTATCACAAAAGAGAATCGAAAAATCCATCGATGACGACATTACGCCTATTATTACCCCATATTAAACGAGTTCAATCAATTTTTGTCAATACACCATCTCTCACAATTCCTCCATTGATTGGATATCCGAATGATACTATTTGTTTCTTTACATCACCTGAATGGTTGGTTCAATTATTTATTTTTAATGGTACACTTTATTTTGAAACAGTTGATGAGCAGATAGCTTATTGTCAATGTTTAAGCTTATGTCCAAAACCTCGAACAATGGAAGAAGAAGAAGAATTTAAGAATGGTTGGATGATTGCTGTTGATGGCTTTGTTAGTAATCCTGAACATCGTCATTGTTTGAAAACGCATCAAGTTCGATTCCATTGCAATTTACTAACATTTGTCAAGAATATAATTGAAAATCGGTATAATTCACATGCACCTATGACATCATATGTTGGCAGTATTATTCTGAATACCTTCAAACTCATTTAATCCTGTGAAGAGTGAAACTACTATTACCGCATATTTAATTCGAAGACTAATACTTTTTTTTCATTATTTGAACTAAATCTTTCTAACAAGAAAAAAGAAAAGAATTCAATAAAAATTATAAATTATAAAACAACATCAATTAACTGATAATAGATATTTTTCGCATTGCATCGACTATAAAACATGAAGGATGTGGGTGTGGGTGTGGATAAGAATAAAATACACACCCAAAGCTTCTTTATTATTAACAATGGAGTTTATTTCAAAAAAGTGTTTCCCATGAAATACATGTTCACTATCAAATGTTTATCTCTAGAGAAAAGCTTCGAGTTGATATAATAATCTTATTTTAAAATGCTAAATTATGTTTCTAGTGAAAAAGAATATACTATTCGATAAATTTTTAATATGGATATTCTATTTTTGTTTCTATTGATATAACCTCAGACAAAGGAGAAAAATATTTTTGCTAAGATGTTAATTTACGAATTAAAAATATATGTCTCATTTCGTATTTTAACAAGATTTAGTAAAAAAAATTTGTTGAATATCTTTTGATGAAGATTAAAATACTTGTAATAAGTAATTCATGAATCGGTCAGAAGAAATGAATGTCTTCAGATATGGTTGATATCTCACTCATTTTCCATTATCCAGACTTCATTTTGATATCAAAAAATGCGCTATGACATTCTGTACAAATTGATTCAAAAATTGACTCCACTTAAGATTGATGAATAAAATGCTAACCAACTAATTATATGCAACATCAACTTAACCAGCTTTCAAAACATAATTACAAAACCGTTTCAATCTTTTTCAATCTTTGGAGCAAATATAATTAAATGGTAGAGTGAGTCTAGAAAACTGATTAAGTGTACTCTCTCACAATAATGTAACATAAAGTCGGTTTCAGTCAACTTCTATTGATAGACACACACTCTTTACCTCAACTAAGTGGAAAACATAATAGACTTAGTAAATTTTACATATTAAAATCGAATAAAAAAGCTGCTAGCGCAATTCTTGTCCCTTTAAAATGTGAAGCACGATGTAGCTGTCATTACTAATCACAAGAATATCGTTTTATTCGAGGGTGTGAGTGTGATCTTCTCTTCTCCCATACTTACACCCACAGGTTAGAAAATGACTCAAAGCAACATAGGTATTTATTTAACGAGATGTGTCAACAATAAATGTATTCTTTTAACATTCATTTTTGTCGATTTATTCCTTCCCTTTTTTCTATTACTACAATAAAATAGAATTGATGTTTGCTTTTGATCTTTCAACAATATGATGCAACAAAAAAACAAGACTGAGTATGTCGTTCAATCTCCTTTCTTCACCAAAGCACCATTGGATGAATCAAATCATATCATTAGCATATTAGACAGGCTAATACTCTTGGTTCATTATCAAGTAAACCCTCGTAGAAAATTTTTGTAGTTTTAATTTTGAAATTTATGTTTGTTTCCTGGGATATACGCACATTTGTGAGATATATAGTTTTTATAGAGGCTTTGTTAGTTAATATTATTAGCTAAAAAATTTATATCGAAGCCAAAATAAGTTCTCTATTAGGTTTTCGATTGTTTGTGAAAATCGATATTTGATTTAATAATTACAATTTATTTGAACCTACGATATC